TTGAGCATCATATCTCTCCTCCCCACCTTGGGGATAACAAATACTCTAGCCTTTTCGCCAGAACCAATTGATCACACAATCTGCTTTCGTATAACATTACAAACGAATCAATAAATCTTTTATATAATTACAAAAATCATTCAATAATAGACTGAAAAACTTAAAAGAACGTTGACAAACTAAAGTAACAGTCAACAACAATAGAAATAATAAATTTAATATTTTTTTATTATACCTATACAATATCTTGAATTGCCAAATGAAAAGGACTTAAAAAAAAATTCAATGAATTACAAATTCATCTTTTTTATAATATTCTTCAATCCTTGACAAATTACATACAATACAATGAAAGTATATAAGTATAACAAAAAAAATAATTTCAATTAAATTCAATTTATTTATTCGGTGGAATATAACGGAAAAAAAACATTACATAGTTAGTGTGTTTGTATAGAAAATTAACAATAAAGCAAAATAACGTATTATAGTAGAGAGAGAAAATAATCGATAACGAGAATTTAATATGCGTTATAATTAAAAATTTCTTTCTCCTCTTACTATAAAAAATATAGTAAATAAAGACACAAACACATAAATGAATATTTAACTAAAAAATAAGCATTAGTAAAGGATTAAATGAGAATATAATAATAAAGGATTTATATGTCCTTTTAGAGGATAAAAAACCTTAGATTAATGTAATACATATACAATTAAGAACGTCTGTTAATGCTTGAATTAATTAATATCGTAGAAAATATATAGAAGATTATTTTAATGATCAAAATAATCATCGGGTTTCTTTTTTGATTATTATACGGAAAATTTAATTAAAATTAATTTTTTCTTCTTTTCTTGTTTTGATTTGGTTTCGTTACTATAATTTTTTTTTCCGAATTAGTGTACTTATGTAGGTATAATCAATAACGATTTAATGATTTATTAATTAATGATGACTCTTATTATCCAATACCGTATAAATCCATTTTCTATATATGTAGACTCAATTACGTTCATTTATACTGAGGGTCTGATCGCCTATCTCGCTATTTTCCTCGGAAAGTGAGAAGATAGTGAGTAACTATCATATATTTGTTTAATGTAATTTTCGAGTGACAAGAATTATTTATAGTATTGCGTATCTCGTTTTTCTCTAAAATGCATACAAAATTTATTCACTTTGTTTTTGAAAGTAAGATGTTTTATCGATAATTTGAGAAAAATTCACAAAACCAATTGAAAAAATGAGCAATTTTATTGAAAAAGTGAAATATCCATTAGAAAATACTGAAAATTCTGATTTGAAAGTGAACAAAAATTTTTTTAGTAGTTTAAAATTAAAAAATTTTTGGCTCTTCATTTCCTTTTGTCAGTTTTTAAAAATGTCAGAATACAATAAAAATTTTACAATAAAAATTTTATTATTCAGTCGTTGAAAAAATATTCTGAATTATTTTTTATTTTGTCGAATTAACGAAATGAGCAATCCAAAGAATGTTGATTGTTGTACAGAACAAAAGCCAAGCTTCAATGACAGGTAAATAATGTCCGTTTAACAAATTCAAAATTTAATGAACCGAATTAATAACATCAGTATGTTCATCATATATTAACAGGGAATCGAAACTAAAACCAAAAACATTTCGTCCCGCAATTAAAGAAGATATTTGCAATATTGAAAAATTAATTAATAAAGAAACAGAATTTTATTTTGGAGCTTCAATTAATCTGGAAGTAGTTTTGGAAACTTCAATACATCCTACTGTTTTATTAGATGAAACCGATCTTATTATTGGATTTATTTGTTTTAATGTAACAGTAAATATTCCAGCTATAGATTCATGTAACTGGCTTGATTGGATTAATTATAATTACAAGTAAGTTTAAAGATTTGTGGTTAGGTTAGATTGACGGGATATCGCCGGATCTTCATATTCTGACCCTCACCTACGACAGGGAGGCCTGTAGTGATATCGTCGGATCTCTACATCTTCATCATCACTTAAGCTAACCCTAATTCTTTATAAATTATTTTGACTCGTCATCACAGTCCCTCGTTACAACAGCTTTTGCAGAGATCGTTTTCTTCGTTCTATCCTCTAGGCGTATTCGCCAGTCTTACAATTCCTATTAATAACACCTATCACAGCTCCAATGTCACCCAGATATCAAAATATTATAAAGAGTTTATATTTTATAAAAACTTACATCAGAGTTTCCAATTCAAAATATGTGCCGGAGATTTTCTCTTTTTGTTATTTAATCATTGTTAAACTATTTATTTTCAATTATTAATATATAAATAACTTTGTTTTTCAGAATTCCAAATATTTATTATCACAATACGATGTTTATTGAATATTTTGTATTCGAGCAATCATTTGATGAATTTTCATTTATGAAATTAATATTGGAAGAAATATTTTTATCAACGCAAATAATTCATAATATAATACTTATACAACCTCCACTTAAGGAAAAATATTCAAGTAATTGCAAAATTTGAATTTTTTAAAATTAATTAAACTTCCAATTATTTAAGATTTTTCAATATACTCAAATTTTTTGGAAAAAACCTCAACCCAATATATAAGACATTCACCGCCATCTAATAACCAATTTTATAAACTTTATGTTTTCGTGTATGATAAGCTTTTACCACCACTAAGATGCCGCCTCGCTACGTAAAAATTTGATTTTAACTAGCAATGGGCCTTCATATATTTGTATTCTTTGGGCGTTGCTACTTCATATTTCTCTCCCTTTTATATACTGTTTTACCAATTAAAAAAATTTTTGACGTAAAAGCTTTACAGGTTGTTAAACGAAGAATCACAAAATTTTCAGTATTCTCTGTTATTAATTCACTAATGCATACAAAACGAAATATTTGCTGCTAAAACTTAAATAATTTAAATTATTTTAAAAAAAAATTTTTTCTCACACACTCAAAGTGACAACTGATGTAAAATACTAGTGCTCATTTGAGCCGTTATATTTAGAATTTTTGCACCGTAAAGAATACAAATCTACAAAGACCCAGTTCTTTTTACAGCTCGGATTTTGTTAAAATTCTCTTTTAAAAATTTTAGACCAGAAGATAATGATAACATAGTTGGCATACTTAATTTACGTTACCCCAATTTAAAATCAAAATATGGTGAATTTTATGTTGCTGAAGAAATCTTAAAAGAAAACAGTGATAAGCATTTCATTTTAATGGTGGTAATAAATTTTTTGCCCGAAAGGAGGCAGTGTCGAATTACAAATTATACAAATATTTTCTGTTCAAATTTTTAGGATGACAATGATGACATTTATTGTGTTATGGTACTAAATAAAATTTTTGATATTAATTTTCTTATTAAAAATTTTGATTTATCACTTGTAAATAATTTGAAAAAAGCTGATGATTCTCAATCAGAAGACTTTATTTTCGTGAAGTAAGTATTAATAATTTCATATACTTGAAGTTAAGTATACTTTGAATAATATTGTTGTGATTTAATAAATTTTACAATCCTCTTTTAAATAATTTATTCTTTAGAGATGTTAAAAAGAGAAAAACACACGATTTCCTGGACAAGAAGTATTTTAACATAAACTGTCGAATTAATTCAAAACATGTAAGTAATAATTTTATATATTATACTTACCCAATTCCAAGCGAAATAATGTACTTAACAGGAAAAGTGTGATCAATTGGAAATTCCAACACAAGGCAATAATATTAGAAACGAAGAATCAGAAGCTGAGTCATTCAAGTGCGGGTTTATGCTTTGTACTAAAATGATGAATAATTAATTTATTAGTCTTTGAGCTTGGTAGTCACAAATTAAAATGCCTAATATTATAATTTTAGCGTGGATAATACAATAACGTCCGTAAGTTTTTATGATGCCGATTTTGCTCTAACTACTAATGAAAATAATACTGATAATCTGGATTCCAACAGCGCAAGTATTTTATATTTAATTTTGCAAATTATAATATCCACACTAAATTATTTTTTATAGGACTTGTACCTGATAACCCTTACGTCATTTCCTATAATAAGAAAATTTTCTTATCGAGTTATGAAAATAATGCTTTTTTAATTGAATTTTTTTCGTCGAATACAGAAATTTTTGACAATCGACAAGTGATTGATTTGTTAAAGGCAGCATTTTTCGTTTATCCTGATATCGATTACTGCATTATAGAAGTTGATACACTGAAATCAAATGACTGTTTACTTCAATATTTCTCGGTACGATGCTAAATTCTTACAGTAATTCTTACAGTAAATTAAAGCAGAACACATTTTATAATTACATTTAACAGAAAAATTTACTTTATATATGGTAGTTTATTCCTCCAAGACCTCAATGTGAAGCTGACAAAAGTTTATATATATTACATCGAGAAACTGTAACCAACCAGATCATTGGGTATGAACCAACGGAAAGAGATCTTATGGAAATACGGGCCTTCTTAAAGTATGATGATGAAAACAAATACAATGAAGTTTCAAACATTTTCGAACTAATAAAAAATGGAATAAGAAATTGCCAAAAAATTTACTATGTTATCTGCTTTAGAACCGCCTGTTCTTTAACTGGTATTACGATTATGACGTTAGTATTGAAAATATTCTCACATAATGAAATTTTTGCTAAGCTTATTTAATATTATTTTTAGTGTTGAAACAAATTTACATTGCCTACGTAAATATTTTAATTTGGATAATTTTGTAAACTATGAGGCAGTCCAAGACAATTCATTACATGGAAGAATTTTATATTTATTATTAAATCCTTTATCTGATTGTAACTCAAAAATAATATTTCGTGAAATCTCCCGTTTAACAGGATTCAAATTTTTCTATTATAGTTTAGAGAGAACGGTAGGTATACAGGAGAGTAATTTAACATTGAACTCTTAAATATCTTAAATGTGATATTTATTAATTTTTTCAGAAATCTAAAATAAATTTATATAACAATTTATTAGATTTTATGTATCCAGTAGAACCGAACATTGTTTATAACATTCGTAATACAAATAAAGAAGAACAATTGACGGAGCCATTATACTTTCGCAGTTTAAAAAATTCACAAAATCCATTTTTAAATATTGACACTAAAATCTGTTGCATAGGATTTGATGATGTTTGTAAAGGATTCTTAAAGCAATTAATATTTGAGTTCGTATACTAGTTCTGATAGTGTTTGAAATTCTAAAAACGATTTCCTAAGTAATAAATTTCGAGCACTATTGAATCAAAACAATCCATTCAAAATAAAATTAATTATTAATTTTTAAATTTTAGCAAAAAATATATAAATTATAAATTTACAAATATAATTGTTATTGCCGATCCAGCAGAATTTGAATTTACTATTACAGATTTATATCGTAAAATTTGTAATCTTTTAAAAGTGGATGCTTCTACTTCACCACAAATAATGAAACGTATGGGTTTAGAAACTTGGATTTCTTGCATTGGTGGCAAAATAGCATCTATTGATAGGTATGAAATGCTAGATCAAACAAAATCTTTTAGCGTCCACAAGGATTAAATGAAAAATATGTGTAACATAACTAACAAAATACAAATCTCACTTTATTTGCAGGAAATCAAAAACAATTTTTATGAGCAATTTTTATAAAATCAAGTATGATTATCTTTTTCTGGTATGCAGTATAAATTATGGCTACCCAAATAATTTAATTTGGAATTCTACAGACCCTGCACCATCAAATTATGTACAAATAAATAACATAGCATCCGCAGCATTATTTTATCATAAGTTAAGTATGATCAAGGAAATTTTCCAAACAGGTTATCAAAAATTTTTATTAAAACTATAATAGTTCCAATAATTGAACTGATTAATTTCATGCAGGTTTCGATATTATTGTATATGGCAGTGTTTTATATTCATATTCTTGTTTAAATTTTCTATTGGAACAAAATATACCAGGAAATCAAATACATTTTGTACAAATTGAAATTCGACAAGAAGACGAAATGAATATTGAAGGTTTTCGAGATCCCACTGTAACAGAACTTATTTTAAATGAACTGAAAAAAGCAAATATAAATATTTATACCAATTATCGTTTCGTCAAATGGAGTTTATGTGAAGAAACCAATAGAATAAAATCAGTAACATTTGCTTCAAAATTTAATGCTATAACATTACCATGTCAATTATTTGTAAGTTATTGTAGAAAATTACTTAGCCGTCACAAGCGTCATGTTTTTCAAAAAAGTGGCCTTATAATTGATGGTAGATTGGTAATTGACGAAGATTTTAAAACAAACGACGTATTTATATATGCAGCTGGTTCAATAACACAATATCAAAGGAAATTATTTGCAACAAATTTCGATCATTATCATTTTAATCAATTTGAAATTGGACAGAAGGTATTTATGGAAAATTTAATTTTTAATTCAGAATTAACACAATTAACAATAATTTAAATATTTTAGTTAGCTGATAAATTTTGTAATCACACAATTATTCACGAAGATGAAAATGAAGAGAATAAAATTCCAATATTCAATAGACCTCTAATTCAACAAACTTTTTTACCTGGTGGCTATCAATATTTAGAAATTATACGATGTGGTCCAAGAATTTCTACAAGCATTTCGCATTTATTTGGATTTTTAGGAAAAAATTATATTTTTAACAGACACAGTCATTTTAATAAACAGGAAAATGAAATCTTTTCTAATGAGGAATTAGTAACCTCAAATAAAATTGGAATAATATCAGAATATTTTCGAATAAGAATTAGTGATAATGGTTTTCCTAGAACTTTAATATGTCTGACAAAGGAGGTATTTTATTGCATATCAATTTACGAATTAAAGAACATAAAATTTAATTATTTTGTAGACAGAAATTTCATTAAATTTCCTAGGGAAATTATTTACTATGCATGAAAAATTATTAAATAATTTTGTAAAACATTTTAATTTCAATAAAAATTTAGATCCATTAGAATTTCTTACACAAACATGGGTCGAAATAATATTGCATCCAAATTTCGAAAGTATTCAAAATAAAAATTTTGAATTTCTTCTGAATTATTTAATGAATAATAAATGTACAAGTAAATATTTGAAACAAAATTGGGAAGAAATGCAAAAAATTTATGTAAGTATTGCTAAAACAAAAATTTAAATAGTCCTACTATGTTGAACCTTCTAATTTCTTCAATAAATATATACACCCTAATTGTAGTAGTGAACTTAACCGTGAACTGTGCTGAATTTAACCGAACTCTAAGAACTTTGCTATTAATTTTTTCAAACTATTGTAATATAAATAAATCGCTTTCAATATTAGATTGGTTCACTTTTGCAAATGTGGCCCAAATTCTTTACCATTATTAAAATATTTTAAATAATTAAGATATTGTAATTTTATAAAAATAATGTTTAATAATATAAACTTATAATTAATAATTTAAAAAATTTTCTTTTCTCTTTTTAGATAAGTGACGACAATAAGAAATCAATACGAAATATTCTGGATACTGAAGAAAATACTAAAATTTTAGAATTGAATTTATTGAAATTTGTTAATGATAATCATTATGATTTATCAAATTATAAATATTGTGAACTTGATATACCATATTTCGATAAAATCTGCCATAAACATATAACTAATTAAAAATAAATAAGAATTTTATTAAATTTAAATATATGTAGATTTAAGTTAATAATTGTTAGCCAAATAGTATGGCTAGAATCACTTTTGTACAATGATAGAGAACATTATATTCTAATATATGTATATGTAGTATAAAATTAAGCATTAATAATATCATAATTTCCAACTTTACATTAGATCCTGGAAATAATAACAACACTACTTCATCTATTGGAATAAAATATAATTTTTTTATAATTTAAAGCATAAAATTTAATACGAATTCAATTTACTCTTGTACACATTTCTAAATTTTTGATTTACTTTAAATTTATTTCACAATAATGCTCTCAATTTTTCGTATATGATCAATTCAAATTTAAAGCAATTAAAATACTTTTCCAAAATAACATTATAGATTAGAGATAAAAATTTGAACACCTATAAAATATAAATTTAATAATGCAATTTTCTAAAATTAAAAATTTTTCATCCTATATAACAACACATTAGCCTCTAGGCTAGGGAATAAAAGTCTTTTTTTTTTTTTGCAACATTTCATATATGCCTAAATACCTTGTCACATTTAATTCTCTAAAGAGAATATTAAAAAATATATTTTTAGAACAAAAAAAAAATGAAATCCTACTCTAGAAAATAAAATTATCAAATTGAAATTTACTAAAATAAGAAGAGAGAGATTAAAAATTTTCTCTTAATATAAAATGTGGGAAGTTTTAAGAAGCTTATAAATAAATTTTCGTATACGTAAAACATATTTTGACCTCAAATCTTGAATTTGAAAACCATATTGTCCTAATTTTAGTATAATAGAATGATAAGAATAAAAAAATCCCATCAAATATACTGAATTTATAAGTATTAAATTTAAATTTTATTATTTTATTATAGATTGCAATTGAAATAGGATTTTTAAAATAATTTCAGTATAAAAATAATTTAGATAGTAAAAAATAAAAATTTTAAATTGAAATTCTCTAAAGATTTTCATATCCTAAAGTAATAAAGTCTATACACGTTTCACAAATATTTTATGCATATGCATTTCTGTGAAATTTCATGATTTCATTTAATAAAATTTAAAATTTAAGGTATAGTTTACACAACAAATTACCATTGATTTTAGAATGAATTACAATTGATTGCTATTGAGGGGACTTGTGATTATTAAGTGTTTTAATTTCAAAATAGCGCTGCTCAAAGTAGCGTATTATTCTGTATAATTACATAAATTGTCTTCTGTATATCACTATTATATAGGTAAACACAATGATAAATTTGAAATTAATATTCTGTTTAGTAAATTGAAATCGTATTGCATATAATTAGAATTGATATAGTGTCAATTACTGCTTATAAAAATAAAATATAAACTTAATTTAATAGCTTCACATACAAATAATTATTAGTTATTATTAAATAATAGTTATTCTAAACACTAGTTCTTAAATGAACTCTAGATGTACGAGTTAAATTAAGTACGAGATGCATGAAATTAAATGTATAAGTTTATATTTTTTTATTAAATTACGTCATGTACCGTATTTTGGCAAAATTCATTTTAATATTGTAAACACTACTTTAAAATTTTCTCTAGTATTGTACATAATACCTTAATATACAAAGAAAAGACTATTTATATAATTAAATTATAAAAAGATTTAAAAACTTTAAAATTTTAATTGATTTTATAAAAAATCTTAAAAATTCTAACCTTAGGCAATATAAGTATTGTCCTTTGTTTTTTAAAATTATCCTTTTATATAATATGATTTTATTGAATTAAAAACAAAATGTTAATTTACGAGCATTGCATAATTGAAATTGCATACAAATGATTTAAAAAAAAATTTAAATTGATTGTCTTTCAAAAATTAAGCTTAAATTTTTCATTGAATTAGTTTTTTAAAAATAAGCCAAACCTAATTAATCTTATATTAATAGTCCTATATACCGGACAATTTGACTCTTAATAAGAGACTATTATTTATGCCGAATATCAAAAATTCAACAAATTGTCCTTTAAAGAGTCTTGAATCCTAATTGAACTTATTTTCAAAATTGGCAAATTTATCTCACAAAAAGCGTTAGTTTCGACAACACACTAACAACTCTGAAATAAGATCAGCTAATATTTGAACACCGAACTTCCATTAAGCAAAATGATAACCTTAAATTTCTTTAAAAAAAATGATCTATTAAAGCTCATGAAATGCTTTCCCAAATCCGGTTCCAAATGCTTTGAATTAACTATCCCATATAGATACTAATAAAATATTATTTCGAACGTACACACTTAAAAGTTCACAACTAATTTAAAATAAAGTCAAAGTATTCCATTTTATTTCACATTTCCTTAAAATATCCTTTTATATGAACTTTAAAGAACTTCTATATTAAGAATATAATTTGAGTGTTTGCATTAAATTTAATGTTCCGATACTTGAAAAACCAGAAAAACAAAGTACAAAAATGTATTTATGTATATATGTATGTATGTATATATATATATATATATATATACTTATACAAATTAAAATATTTCCAAACCACCATATAATTTTTTGTATATTTAACCGCAACCTCGAACAGGAAATCGGAAATCAGGTGCTATAAATTAAGAATATACCATTGAGACTTTTACAAAATGGGAATTATTCAAAGTGTATTAACCAGTGTTACCGAGTAAAGAATTAAAGAAATTAGAAATCGTAGTTGACAAGTTACTTAAAATAAAAAAAAAATAAAATTTGACAAATCGCATTCATTAACCCCGAATCCACCGTCCTGTTACAATTTGTCAACTTATTAAGGATCATGCCATAAACGGATCCTCGAGCTTTTAATGCAAAAAAAATTTTAACGATTTCGAGGAGCCGTTCAGTAACTGCGTGGAAAAATCTTCAATTTTATTTTATAAATAAATTTTGTTTAAATGCTTTTCATGTCCGGCATTTCAGCAAACATCTACATTTCTTTCACACATAATTGTCTTGAATTTAAACAGAAAAACTTGAGACTGAGTTTGTGCACTTCACTATATAAGCATTTATATATGTATATATGTGTATAAACATTATAATACGCAGTATGTACAGCTACTTCTTAAAGAAAAACTTTCTTCGTTTTCAATTTTTAAGAAAATAACAAAATTTATTTACAAATACAAACTTTTACAATACAATATATATTAATATTATATGCCTAAATACATGCAATATTTATATATATTATTTACACAATATAATTGCAATTATTTTACACATAATATGTATATAGCACGACTATATATTTAAGATATATACATCTGCATACACATATAAGATATTTATTTATGTTACATTGTATATAGGTTGCCGGAAAAGTTGTGTTATACCAAATTTCCGCCGAAATCATTTTACTGACAAACTTTTCATATAAGTACTCATTATTTACAAAAGAGAATATTGTATACAAACATAGCTAAAGTAAAAGATCTTTTGACTTAATTATATTTATGAGCCTGAAAGTATGCTCTTTCCGTATTTATTATTATTGTTATTATTATTTTATATTATTATACACAAATAATAGTTACTAGCTTAAAATTTAGTTTTT